TTTTTAAAGTCTATTTGCTTCGATTTTATTAAACGGTTTTTTTCAGAACCGACAAACTTTGGTCTTCCCATAATGACCCAAGTCTTCARAACCTACTATAAAATCAAATTCTTTGGAATATTCTATAAATTCTTTTATATACATTTCTTCAAAACAAATAGTACAAGCTTTTTCTTTGTAACCAGATAACTGAAATTATTTTTGTATATGACAGAAAAATAATTTACTAAAACCTGATAAGAATTTTGATTTACCAAACCAACGACGAATAGTTGATGGCCCAGGTAAATTAACTTTTTGGGAACGTAAAAATGTATATGCTGTTGGTGATTTATTATACAAATTTAAAGCTAAATTTTTTTCATCTTATGTTCACGGAAAACACCTATCTGTTAATTAATTGATGGAAAGTTATTCATATTTATTGAGTTCTTAACATTATTGTGGGTTTTAAAAGCAGTGGCGTAACTAGCAGCAAATGTTTGGGGTAACGAACACTTTTATATGCTTCACCTTTTCCAATAAGCATAATGGGTGAGTACCACTTATACGCATATAACTTCTTCCTAAATTATTTTAAAATAATCATTATAYTTACAATTTTATAACACGAAAATTCACAAATAACGTATTTTTTTCCTGATAACTATTTAAAGATAAATAAATAGTAAATACACACTGACGCGGATTTTTTTTATTAAATTATATAAATAATTTTGGGGTAGCAAAATGATACTCTTGCGACCCCATAAAAATGTTTGGAGTCACGATCACTACCCCTCGCTACCCCATAGTTACGCCACTGTATTAAAAGTATTAACTCTTTTTTTTTAATTTTTAAATACGAGTTATTTTAGTATGAATTAATTTGTTTTAATTTTTGTTTTAAATTGATTTTTCTAGGTGTTTCTATTTCTACAAAATCAGATTTCCTTTTTAAATTTGGGCTATACATGTCTATTAAATTTGTTATTTAAATTTTTTGAGGTGTAGAAAAATTTTAAAGGGGCTTGGAAATACTAACTCTACCATGTCTGATTTTGAGTGTGTATATGTTTTAGCTGGTGTTGACATTATAATATTATACTCCTGTTCAGATTCATCATTTTGGTTAATGATTGATGATGTAGATGGCTGTGTTTCAGATTAATAATTATAAGGAATAGCAGTATCTATCAAATGATTATGATTAAAATTCTGTAGGTACAAAGCTTTCGGATGGGAAATGTTCTCGACAAATGTACCTATTATGGAGTTTATCTGAATTGACAGAAAACAAACTTGTGTTTCCTGTTTAGATATAAAAAAATATGTATAAATTATAATTATTTGCAATAGTATAGAAAAATTTAAATTTTAAATTAATTACTTACCTGAATGTATTATCCATATATCTTTTCTGTCGTCTTTTGGAAAACGATACATTTTTAAATTTGGAAACATTTTCTTAGATTTTCTACAATTTAAATATTGATACTTGTGTCCAGACATGTTTCATAATTTGTAATTTTTAATGAAACTATAACTCGGAAAACAAGAAAATTCGGATGGTAGATTGCTCTACAGTAAAAAGATAGTAATGAATGATAATAAAATAATATTATTAATTCCAATAATTTTAGTATATCTTGAGTTTCTTATTGTTATTCTATTTTTAGATCATCCTCGCACGATAAGCCATCCTCCCTTCCCCGCATAGCCATAACAAACATCTATTATGGAGGTACCACCTCTACAACCATCCTTGCAACCCAAAAACACTAGCGGTCCATAGTGGTTGCATTCTACGCGTAGTCTCCAAATATTTACATTGTATGGGCTATCTGTCTATTCTATAATGAATGGTAGAACATAGTAAAAACTGTACTTGCGAGGGATAAAATTATCAGAATTTCACCAACGCATATGCAAGAACTTTATCTGAGTCATAACGTCGTTATTTTTTGATGGCACGAACCAATAATTTTTAATAATTAAATAAAAAAATATAAATTAATGTATTTTTTTAAGATGATAACTTTAATTATATTTATGTCATCAAAAAAATAACGACGATACGACACAGATAAAGTTTTTACCTATGCGTTGTAGAATTCTGATAATTCTATTATAAATACTGAGGGGGAAAACTTATTTCGTGCAAAACAGTTTTGATATGTTTTACGGTTAGGTTAGACAACACATGCGGGTATCACGTTATTCGAATGAGGTAGATTTTTTAAATTGATAAAGAGATGTAGTAAATTACGTATTGCAACCTGCAAGGTAAATGTATTAAATAGAAAAATTTGTACCATGTTTAATTTGATTATAATTATTATATTTACATTATTATCTTTCATATTTTTAATGGTACAAAAGGACATAATATAATATTTATCTAAAAAAAGATAATTGAACATATTTAAATATAATTCAACTATATAAAAAACAAAAGTTYATCTAGGTTTGTTTATAACCATGCCGTCATATAACATATGTCACATATAACAATGTCGTTATTAATTTAATTGGCCAAAGTTAAGTTATAAAGAAAAAATTACTGATTTCTACCTCTATTGACAATATGAAACAACCTAGGTCCATTATAACAGTCAATGTCCTGTCAAATAGTCAAACGTCCTGTACACTCTTAATCTGTAGTTTTGTAATTTCATATTCCTAATCAGTTTCTTCAAGCTCGTCGAGATCAACAGATGTCGTTGTAATTATAAGATAATCGTTATAAGTGATAACGATGTTGTCCAAAGTAATATAAGAGCTTGGTTTAACACTGCTGTCAATCATTGCCATGAGTGATAAAAGTTCTTTATCTCCAATTTCCGATTTGGTATTAATGTTTCGCCCGTGTCTGAATCCACATCRCAAGAATTACTTTTTTACAATTTTAGGCTATACGTGTGTTTGATGGTTTGAGCAGAAGTCACCCAATACAAAGTGACCAATTCATTAATAGTACTAGACTCACCAGCACTTAAATCAGCTACAGCTTTTTGTAGTAGTTACTTACAATAGAGCTTTTTGAATGGTCTAGAGGACACTAAGACGTTCTTTGTGGAAGATAAAAAAACCATCTCAATATTTAATGTTGACGATAGGGATGAGGAGTTGTTAACAAAAAATAGCTCTTTTCTAAGACTTTTTATCATTTTTTTTTCGAATTTCGTAAACCACTGTAATAATCTCAAGCCTGGTTATAGGGAAGGCGACACAGGCGTACGCCTAGGGTGGTGACATTTTCAAAAAAGTGACAATACTATTATTTTAGGGGTGCTAATATTTTCACTTGAGCCTGCCCTGAATAATCTGTATCGTCATCCAGACATTTTTATTCCAATACCATTCAACAGATAATGTATTTACGCCCAATTTTTTTGATACTTCTTAGTAATTTACTTTACCTATGATGATAGCACGTTCAAATTTATCTGTTATATTACAGCACAAAAGCACAGTCAATAGTTTCTTTTTTATACTTTTCCACCACCGCATGTTTCATTTTAAATGTCACAGTTTTGTTGTGTAGAACTCKATAAAAAAGCCCAGTCTCGTTGGCATTAAAGATGTCTTGCTCTGCATATTTGATAATTATATTTTGTAATTTTGTGTTAGATTCAATATCTACGATCTATGTTTTAATAACGTGGAACTTAAGACTCATAAGGATTATGTTGATTTTACGGAAATCTAAAATCTATTTTTTCACCTCTTACGGTGTAACGAGCTCTTCGCGTCGAAAACGGTCACTAATTAACTAACAAAATGCATAAAAAACTGACAACTAAGGTATTGATATTTTCGTCATAATGGTTTTTATTTTTCGTTATTTTATTTTATGTTGTTGTCCTATAATGACTTTAAGAGGTTCTAATTGATTGACTGATTCTGATTGACGATCTACTGTTTTTCTGTCATMATTTTGTCATTATTTTCAAATTAATTTTAAAGTAGGTTCCATTATTAGGTGGTTTTTACATTGGAAAGTAAAGAATATCTTCGTCCCAATAAATCATCCGCTATTGGAAGGTGTCCGTCAGGGGAAGTTAGGTTAACCGTGTTACGAATTTCCACTTTCCATGTTCATTGTTATTATTAGTAAAGAGGCATTAAAAGAAATATAAATAAAATATGATAATGATTATGCATTCATTACGTTGGCACTGGTGGAGAAGAATAAACTGTTTAACAGCTGTTATAACTTCAATGATAAAGAAAATTAAAAAATATGAATTTAGTTCAGAAAGCTTATTAATCTTAAGCTACCTCAAAGCTTATACATTCTAGAATGATTTACCACTATGTCGTTTTCAGATTGTGCTAAACAATTAACAAATAATCTGATATTCTATTTTATTAGTAGTATGTATTATAAAAAATAGTAAAATACATATCTATTAATCTTGAAGCTGTAAATATATACTGATTCATTAAATCTATTCATTTAATATACTAAACATATAGCCTTAATATATAACACTACTTATAGGATTAAAGATATATTACTTATCAGTATATCTTTAGTTTGAATTTTAAATTAAATATCATCATTCATTTTTAAAATTGTTACCACGCTGTTTAATAGAAAATGTTTTACTCTTTCAAATAATATACTCAAGGTAGATTACTACCTAGGCTCGTTGCACAGGTTTCCTCAGGTGCATGAAATAAACACTCACAATAGCTGAGAATGTCCGCGCTGCAACGGGAATCAACGAGCTACCCCACGCAAAACTGAACTTTCGGCGGATTAATTAGTAATCGTACCAAACCGACTGAATTCCGTGCTATGTGCCGTAGGATTGTGACTTCACTAGTTTAACATAACATAAAAATATAAGTAAAAGTATAAAGTATAACTATAAGTATGATTTCCAAAACGGGAAATCCTTCCTAAATATACATTTAACATCTGTGAATTGATATAATGATGAGCATGAACGATATTTTCAATTTAATTATAATTATATATATTTGAAATTAATTAATGATTGTTTTTGTAGGTTTATCAGCTTTGCAATACGTTCAGTTGAACTCATCCAGGAATTTGTATATTATAGGATTTTCAATGTTCTTTTCGCTGGTAAGTTATTTCTCATTTCTTAATCATAAACCAAAAATGGAACAAATATGTAACTTATTTTATTAAGATAAAAGCTTAAGTATTTAGGTAAATCATTATGCTAAATTTCTATATTTCAATAAAATCCAAGTAATGTAAAATATGTCATGTCTCTCAAGTCTGACTAAGAGTCKTGAAAGTATAAAGTTAATTAATTTACTGATTTTTCATCAAACAATTATTCTAAGCTAACGTCAATTTGATTGATCATGTACGATTTCAGGTTTTACCGAAATGGCTCATCGCTCATCCAAATGCAATTCAAACAGGAAACGAAATATTGGACAGTGTGTTGACAGTAATTTGTAGTACCAGTATATTAGTCGGTGGTTTAATCGGATGCTTCTTGGACAACACCATACCAGGTACGACTATGCTATTAAAACGGAACGATATAACTCACGAATCGTATAAATAGACGTATACATGTTATCGTTAATATAGGCACTCCGGAAGAGAGGGGTCTCATATCATGGGCCAATGAAATGAATCTAACTAGTGAACCGACGACGGGCGAAGAAACGAGCACTTATGATTTTCCGGTGGGCATGAATGCGATAAGGAAGTTAGTATTTGAATTAATTGTTTTGGGACGTATTACACGATAAGTAACTTCGAGTTTTATGAAAATCATAAATCATATCTATACCTATACTTATTACATACCGAACCTGGTGAACATTAAACTCATCTACTTTATCGGTTATTAGTGGTCTAATTTTCATCTTGTATGAAGATGACACAGTCCATTTGTTCTAATACATATTCCAATATTTCATACAAAGTAATGCTTATACGTTGTCCAATAACATTTTTCTCCGATATTTTTTTTTTCATTTCTTTAGCCATACCTTTTGGCTCATCTCTACTAGCTTTTTTKGTTTCATACAAATTTACAATAATTAATTTTTGGTTCAAACCAACAAATTAAAATTAAAAACAATTATTATTGTAATATTATATAATACAGTATAAAAAACAGTAAAATATAATACAGTCATAATAATTAAAATTATTTTTACTATTCCATGAAAATTTTTTTCATAGATGAAATACTTMTAGCTTCGTTTGCAATGTATTGAAACATTTTGTACAAAAATAATTTAAATACACACAATTCAGTCAAAATATTTATACACCCACACAGTAAAAATCGTAAGACAGTATTGTTGTAAGTTTATCTAGTACTTGTGCTAGTAACTTGTGTTTTGAAGTCTTTGATTTATTCAATAAATTTACAATCCCGAAATCATCTTTAGAAAACCTAGAAATATTAGCTTCTTTAAGTTTTACAGTGTACACATATTTTTTATGCTAGGTTTTTCACTATGAATCGCTGTATTTATTTTAGTATTAAATTATAATTATAAATTTTGGATGGCTGATCAATGTCATAGTTCTTCATTGCTTCGATCTACCTTGGAAGCAATTATCTAACGCAATTGTACACAAATTGTTTTGCGTTTATTATTCGAAGTTCATCAATACTTAAAATTTTAATCTTAATCATGTACAAGTTTTTTTTTGAATCAGTTTTCTTTACTGTGATATATATGCTTAATGCTTACTTCTTGCTTGAAACGATTGACATTTTCTTTTTAATTACCTACCTTCTAATCTTAAATGTTCCAGTTGGTTGTAGCTATGTGCTATTTTGATATTTTGTTATCTACAATTGTCCATTCCATCATTTATTTACTTTTATATTTTAATATTTAATATTTTAAAACTGTGCTATGTTTATATTAGTTAATCAATGTAATACTATAAAATTACTAGAAGCAACAATATTTTATTTGAGGAAAACACACTTCACATTTTACACAAAGCATAACAAATACAATAATAATTTTCAAACCTACTTTTTTTGAAGARCGATACCTATAATATTATATACGTATACAAAATATAGGTTAGATAATAGGTATTTGATAATTGATACCACAACACGTCAACATCAATAACTGCAACATTTTTAATACCTAAATTAATACAAAACTTATTTTTTTCAAAAATTTGAATTAGAATAGAATTTGGAAGTACCTATATAGGAAATATATATTATATTATCATACTTTAAAAATAAAATATACGATTTGTTAAAATTTTAAGATAATTTTTAGTATAAAAACCCATTTTTCTGCAAAGTATTCGAAATTGACTTGGCGGTGTCTTAGGCCATATGGGGGTATTTTACACATGCCAATTTAATATTTTAATATTTTTCAGAATGAAGTGGACATATTCAGTTCCATTTTTACCAACCTACAGACCAAAGAAAAATTAGAATTGTCAACGTATTATTAACATGTTTTATGGTAAATTATATAAAATTGCTTATTGGTTTATGACTCGTGTAATTTATTTTATAATTTRTAAACCTGATACATCATAATATATATGAAAATATATTAATAAAATTCAATCAAACATATGTGGATTTTTCATAAAATAATTGATTTACATACTTTTACTTATCCGATATTATAAAACTTTAGTTTTAAGTATCAACAATCAACAAAGTAGGTAGGTATTTAAAAAAATGAGGTTCTTAACTATCTACCCAGGTAATAAAGAAAAAATATGTAGAAGTTATCAGAGAATGCTGAACCTGCCATGTGTTGTATCCATTCGTTCCCKTTTTGCATAATATTAATATTATTTTATTTCCATTTTACCTAAGCTAGTTAAGACTAATTTAAAATTAACTTGGCAATGTTTCAGTCAAATATAAACACAATAAACCAAAAGTATTTTCAGTTACTTTCTTACATCTATTTAATCTTTTAGTTCACGACTCTTGATGTGTCTCCCAAAACAGCATGAATTGTCGTTGTCTGTTTAGTTTTGATCGTCGATGTGGTTATTCGTTTAGGATTCGTTCTATCAACGTTATACATGAGACGGGATACAGCGCTGTGTAGAGGATAATGCATGAATTAGTTAGGGGTACCATTATAATAACATATGAGACCTTAGTATCTACTGCATGATTCAATTTTATGTTAGATCAGCGGTGCCCTAGTGTTTGTACACATTTTGTTAGGTGCCCTTCTGTGAATATCACGAGGAACGTATACGTTAAATTTGTACGTAAAATAATTTTTTGTCTTTTTAACTACAATAAATTTTCAATTTTTAATATATAATTTAATAATTTTTTTCATTCTCGGACGAGCCGTGGCACCCCTTAAATGAGCTTGCAGTGCCCAGAGGGCACCGTGGTACACAAGTTGGGAACCGCTGGTGGCTGGTCTATACGCTAATATATAATAATATATCACTGTAGTCCCGATTTAAGAAAAAAATATTATCTACAACGTATCTCATATCTGGAACTTGTGAGAATACGGAGCTTTCGGAGGGCCCCGCACACCACCCACAACGTGAGGGGAACACTCAAGCTGTGACCTACGAGCCGCGCCGCACAACAAACCTGAGATTGTTGCGGCGGAACTCGTAGGTTTTAACACTATATGGGGTAATGAAACGCCATTTAGTAAATAGATAATAAAAACTGAATTTAGGGTAATAATAATAATAGTAATAATTTATATTAAACAACAAACACGACAATAATAATGGTTAAAT